CATTGTTATCACAATATAACGCAATGGGGTTCACACACAAAATATATGTATATTTATACATATATATAGATGTATAAATATATAAAATATTTGTTTATACGTATATATATACCTCCTTAATATACATATATATACACGTATATATGTATATATATATTCGAATTCATATATATATATATATATATATATATATATATAAAAATATATAAAATATTTGTTTATATATATACCTCCTTAATATACATATATATATATATATATTTATTTATATGTATGTATATATATATTTAAATATACGAGTCTTTTATATATTTATACGTATATATATGTATAAATACATGTATATTTTGTGTATATATATTTTATATATACGTAACAAATATATATTATACATACATATATATGAATTTGAATATATATATATATAAATATATATATATTTCAATTAAAATCCAAATTTTCAACCTATTTCCATTGGAATTCCGTTGGAATTTTTTTTAAACTTTTCAAAAAAATTTCCAACCGGCATCCGTTGGAAATTCCGTTGGAATTGTTTCTAACAAACATCCGTTGGAACTCCGTTAAAAATTTGCAACCGATTTTTCCAACGTTAATCCGTTGAAAATTTCCAACGGATCTCCGTTGGAAATACCGTTGGAAATTTCCAACCCAATTTTTCAATTGAATACGTTGAAAATTCCGTTAAAAATTTCCAACGGGTGTTTCCAATGGATACCCGTTGGAAATTTTCAACGGAATTTTAACGGAAATCGTCGTTGAAACGCCGTTGAAAACCGTTGAAAATCTGTTGGAAATTTTCCAACGGACAAATCCGTTGGAAAATCCGTTGGAATTCGATGATTTTTTTGTAGTGGTGGTCACATATTGATCTCATTACTCATAACATTAAATTTATGATGTTTTAACCAAATGATTAGTAAGATATACAATGTATGATCATAATGAATTAATGTGATCACCATAAATTTAACGTTATAATCAATAAAATCAAAATATGATCACATTATATTTTAGGTCATATGGGTTACATGATCGCGGTTGGAGAAGGGTATGTGTTGAAGTAAGAATACCAAAGTAAAGATATTTTTGATATAATGCTCGTTTATCGCCCGACAGTTACGGTTTATTTATCTTCCACATGTTTTGTTATGGACTCGCGCATGTAAGCGGAATTTATCCAACCAATGGACTCGAAAGGTAGCATATGGGTTCCCATGGTAACAAGAAAAAACATCGTATTAAGCAATGCATTACACAATGTTTTTTTTTGTTATAACCAGGATGGTTCCTCGGGCCTTCGACCCGTCTACATCCACCCTAGGTTCGGGACCAGCCTTTGTATATGGATCATTTTAGTCCAGAAATTACATCCCTCCCCACCAGTGGAATCGAACCCAGGACCTTGAGGATGACTTTGTCACCCACCAACTGTTAGGTTGCATTACACAATGTTGATGCCACTACAATGGAGAATGACATTACGGATGATAATGATGGAGATCATGACAATGGTATATATAAATATATATATATATATATATATATATACACACGTTTTGAGCATGATGAAAATATCATGATAGTTCAACCGGTGAAAATGAGGCGCAAATCGTATGTCCAGTCGCGAGTTCGAACCTCAAGTTTGGAAACATAACGTATAATCCAAATCACATGGTTCTCCTACTTTCAAGCTTAGTCTAAATCTTGGTCCAAAGTTTCCGGTTATTCAAAAAAGAAAATATCATGACTGATATAAAAGAGTAATGAGAAAATGCGTCCGTCTCTACAAGAATATGTATACGTACACGTACACCATTTACGTATACGGACAGGAAAATCTATCATATACTATAAAAAATGAAAATTGTTTTCATTTTTGATACATGGAAATTGGACAGTGAAAATGATACAAGAATCACGCAACAAAGAAAAAGTAATGAACGTTGATGAAAATGGAATGTTACAGCTTTATTTTTTATTTTTTATTTTTTATTTTTCAGAAAAGAAAAAGAGAGAGTGAGTGAGAGAGTATGTCCTAATATTGGCTGTCCATGAAACTGACGAGAAGCTCCTCGACCATGCCTCTGTCGGGCATTCTCCCCGCCGCTCCATATATCGGCGCTAACCCTCCTTTGATCGGCCCCGGATTCTCTCTCACCTGAAACCCGACAACGATATAAGAACCCTAATCACGAAAAACGACGGATCGAAGATTCATAAACCCGACGATCAAGACATTCCATGGAACTCACTGGGGATGGGTACGGGTCACTGGGTCAGGCACCCAGAGTTTTGAGGGTACTCTGTCTCGGTCTCGATCTCCCGAGACTCGGATATCCGCGAGACCGAAACTCGAGGGTACTCGGACCCGCGAAAATTTTACAAAATTCTGTTGACTTTTAGGGCTATAAAGATAATTTAATATGAAAACATGTCAAGACATTTTTGTAAACATATAAAAAATCATGGGTATTTTAGTCATTTTCTAAGCACCCGGAAGATAACCCATAAAAATTTAATAGAACCCGAACCCGAAACCGCCTTCCGGGTTTCTCGTGTCATCGAACCCAGCATAGTTCCGGAGAACTCGAAGTCGGATACCCGGAAACTCGCGGGTCTCGATTAAAAACACCCACAAAACCCTATAACTCATGACTCAATCCCCATGTCTAAAAACTATGTCTCGGCATCGGACTTACAGTTTCGACAGCTTCCCTCAGTTCTCGGAGAAATTCCTCGACAACAGGGACGTGTTGAAGGGTAATACAAATGTGAATGCTGGTCCAAGAAATACCGAAAAATGTGAAGCCAAGAACATGGTAAAATGTTGCAGAGCTGATGGACAAAGAACATGTTGGAAGAATTTACCTGTTTGGTCTCTGCAATGCATTCAAATGCCAACCTTTCGACGACATGATATCGTTAACTTCGAATATGTCGAGCTTCGTAGATCCGATCGCCACAATCGTCATGTCCGGTTTCCCAACCACGAATAACTCCGGTATCCCTCTCACACTTCAAAAATCAAGATTCTTTCATCTATAGAATTTTCGGACAAAAAAATAAGGGGTGTCAAACGAGTCGGCTCGTTTTGAGTTCAGCTCGTCGACTCGTTTTCAAACTACAGAAAACCCCCGACTCGGCTCGAATCGTCTGGTTCACGTGTTAAACGAGTCAAAAAGACAATGTTTTTATATTCATATTATGAAACCGGTTCAACTCGTTTAAAAACGAGCCGACAACGCAAGTTGAGCTCGTTTTGATACCCCTAAAAAAATCCATTAAGAAGAAAGGAAAGGTGAATATTATTATATACAAACCCTTCTTCTACTCTCTTCGACGTTTCCATGATCTTTCTCGTGTTTTCGAGGTAGCCTGCAAAAGGATAAACGAGAATGAAATCAAGAATCGACGTTATAACGAAGAACTCGTAAAAATGAGTGAGATAGTTGGTCACAACCTTCTTGTCCGAGAGACATCATTGCAGACCAAGCGCCAGCAACCAGACCACCAGGCCGGCTCCCAGCTATGGTTGGTGATACATATAGACCACCTGACCATTCCGTCACTGCAGAAGAACCCGGTTTTTTAAAAATGGTCAGAAGGTAATCACTATTGCATGATTCAGACAACTTCGATTGGTTTTCTGCATCGTTTTGTCGGTATTCTTGATCACGGGCATCATAAAACACACTTACCAGCAACAAATTGGTGCTGTTTTTGCAGATTCAGAACGGAAAGCGCCAACCAAACACGAAAGATCACGTTAATATTAGCATATAAAAGAAGATTCAGTTTGTAAATGAATTGAATAATGGCAACGAGAATGTAGAAAATCAGCTTATTTAAACTTGTAATTTGATGAATGGACTAATAAGATGTCTCATGTTAAACAAGAACTTGTAATTTGGTATTAAGACAAGTTACAGTTATGTTTCTGTAACTGCCAGTCATGAAACTCCGAATATCGAGAGTGACAAAAACCAGAACGCGTTCATTGACTAAGCCTGTTGCCCAGAGCAATTCCTCGAAAGAAAAAAAAAAAGAAAAGATAATGAGTTTTACCTTTCGGATCTCGTGATTTCTGTAGAGAACTACACTTGTACCTTTAGGAGCCAATCCATATTTATGCACATCCACCGAGATCGAAGTAACTCCTTGCACGGAGAAATCGAAACCCGGAATAGGGTACCTGAAAAACAATAAGAAAACGAAAAGGAAAGACCCTATGACTCGCAAAAAATTAAATTACCATTTCATGATAGTTTTAGTAGTTCATCAATGATATTAGCTTTAATCATTTATGTAGTTCTGAAGCATATGAAATTCATGATACGAAGAAGCAGAAGGGCTGAAATCTTTAGAGAATACATAAACATACCCGAGTTTGCGAGCGAAAGGAAGTACAAAGCCGCCGAGGCAAAGATCGACATGAAAGCATATTCCGTAACTAAGAGCCAGTTGACCGAGCTCCTATAGAATAAAATGAATACAGCTCCCATTCAACAAATATTACTTCAAAAATTAAAATTTACTAGACTGAATATCCGAGTTACCTCAATAGGGTCGATGATGCCGTGAGGAAAACCAGGAGCAGATCCAACAATCTGAAATTTATATGAAACATAGATTTTTAAGGAACTTAGATATACAAAACTAAGCTTTAAAGCTACTTAATTTGGGACATAGAGACGGTCCAAACGCATTCAAAATATCATATCTGGTTCGGAAAACATACCATGATGGTGTTTCCGTTGATATGCCTCCTTATTGCTTTCACATCGGCTTTGAAGTCTTTGTTCACAGGAACTCGCCACAATTTGATCTTAAAATACTGAGCCGCCTTGTCATAAGCCGAATGACCAGATTCAGGTATAATCCTGTACTTGGAAACGACAAATTATTTTACCGGTTAATTTCATAATACGCTCGAAAGCAAGCAAACAAATGAGATTTGGAGAGAAAGGGCTAAAAAAAGCGTACATTTCCGGCCTTGTGATTCCCTTCTTGTGTCTCATATAATCACGAGATGTCTTTACAGCTAAAAGTATGCTTTCGGTTCCTCCAGAAGTCATGTTTCCGCATATTTGTCCCCCCGAGGATTTCTCTCTGCTACCGAGCAATGCAGCTGTCATTGCCACTACCTCTGCCTCGAACCTTACTACGCTCTGGAATACATCTAAATGCAATGGGTTTGTATGTGCAAACCTGAAAATGCATCACTTTCCCCATTAGAGTGAAGTAATGGTAGAGACACAAAACACGAAAAAAGATTCCAACTTTCTAGTCCTAAGACAACAGGCAAGACCAGAATTCAGATTGTAATAGATAACAGGATCCGGAATCTTGTTAGTATTGACTTACATCGAACAGGCTTGATTTATCAAAGAAAAATGCCCTTCAGACTCGTTTCCAGCGATATATCTGCCAACAAGATTGGCAGGAATCAAGATGAAAAAAGAATCTCTATCAAAATCACAAAGAAATTCAAATCTCGCCAACGAATATTGGTGAACGTATAGAAAAAGCTGCGAGTATTGACCATCGAAGAAAACGTACACAGTGCCAGAGCATTTCCCTTGCCACATAGCATCTTTCCTCTTTTCGTCCTCCATTTTCTCTATAACTTCATCTCCTAAACCCTTTGCGGGCAATTCTACCGCCCAGTTTTCTTTCTTAGAGCTGCCGCCGGATTGTAATTTATCAACAACCTATGCTTTGAAAAACAAAAAATCTATCAGATAATGCTATTAGATGTATGTTCAATCTAGCATGCACCTTATTAGAAAAGTAAAAACACCCACCCACCTGGAACCTCATGAACATGCATGCGTAAACAGAAGGAAACGCTAACAAACCATTAGAAATTGGAAGGCTCGGGTTAATTACAAGACCGCAAGTTTAAAAAAAGGGAATGTAAAGTTGTCAAATGCATACTGAAACCTATGCAAGAGACAAAGCTTCAAAGAGAGTAGGTATTATTACTGTCACTGACAGGACAAAGTTAAAAGATGAGAAGGTATTCCACATCAAACAAGTAGCTAATGCCTCGACAAAGGCTTGATCTTGCAAGAAAATGGCAAGACATATAAGTAGATCAGAAGAATTATAAAAGAAAAAAAAAATGATACCCGGTGTTAGAATAACCGGATCGAATGGGGCATGAATGCATTTTCTTTAGCATCTTCAGGCATTGCCCCACATATTAAATGATCCCAGTTGGGCAGAAATCTTGCTCATGTTCAGGGAATGCATTATTTCTACCAGATAAAGTGTTACAGCAAAATCAAATATATGATTCATGCTTGAACCATCATCATCTGTATGTCTTCAGACATCCCAAATCCCTGTGAAGTTCCTGTTCTTTAGAACTCCAAGTGAAATCTAGAGGAATCAACAAATGCTTCTAAAATCTAAGCCTAAACCATGTAATATGAGTGACAAGAATTGCACATGGGACCATCCAAAAGTAAAGATATCAATTCCAAGACAATCCTAGCAGTAATTACAAATTCTTCCAATGACACAGACAACAAGAACAAAGGATAAAAAAACTGAAGAAAGAAGCATTAAATGATCTTGTCCGAAACCCATAAATCATAAATGATTCCTACTACTAAAAAGCCAACCCCACCTTTTGTTTCTCTGCATCTATGTATCTCTGAACACCAGGAATCATCCTGTTTCATTTCAGAAAAAAAAAAAAACGAGATCAAACGAGGGAATCGAGAGGGAAATCGATGAAACCATGATCCAAAAGCATAAAAAGATTCCAACTTGACGAAACCCATGACGAGCCCAACGATGGTCGATTTCAGCCCTTTCTCATGAACGACGCCGATGGCGGATCCGACGATCCGAGCGACGAGGAGAGTGAGAAACGGAGCGAAGAGCAGAACCAGAGGCTCAAATTGCGAGAGCCATGAATTCAACGAGGCTTGAGCGTGAATCAACATGGGTTTCACCGAAGAAGGTGGCGAAAAATTCATGATTTTCTCTCTTTTCTGCCGATTTCGGACAAAGAGAACAAAAAAAAAAGGATTTTTTTGGTAGAACAGATAAGAAGACAGAACAAGAAATAATAACAGAGAGATAAGAAGATTAGGAGGACTCTCTAATCATCGCGTGTAAGGCATGCATTGTTGTCTTCTTTAATTTATTTCAAAGATTCATTTATTTTATTTGGAATTGTTAGCGTTAATAGAGATATAATCACATCTATCAATTTTGTTTTATAACATTTATATTACAATATACATATAGGATTTATAGATATATTTCTATAAGAACGCATTTGGTCATTCATATTTATCTTTTTTGAACTAAAACAAAACATATATATATACATATATATATATATATATATATATATATATGTATATATATAATAATCAATGGAAGACAAGACCAAATGACAACATGTTATAAACCTGAAAACTCTCATTAATCATCGTCTTTAATCAAACTAGAGCCGTCACATTGACAAATCTAACAAAAACCCAAAAGCACAAAGATATTTTCTTTATTTTTCATGAGAAAAATTACGAACTCAAAATGGATTCGGTTTGGGACCAATTCACGAACTATCCCATATTTTTTTAAAATATATAATTAATCTGCACACAAAGGCACAAACAAATTCAAATAGAAGATGGAGATTGTATCTCCATTTCCAAATTCCATCCCTCTAATCGAAGAAACTGCATACTAACAATCACCAGATCCATATATCCACCCATAACGAACCAGACGATCAAATCATACAAACCATAATCGCAAATCAAAAACGATGAGAGAGGACAAACGAGATCGAGACAGAGATGTTAACAGACAAGGAAAGTGTGACACCCGTAACCCGTATCCCGTAGTACGAGTCGTGTCACTCGGACAATAAACCGTAAAATATTCAAAAGCTAAGAATATGATAATTCAAAAACTTTTATTTAATTATGCGCAACGTAAAATAAATATACAACCATACCCACGTTTATTAGATATAATACAAAAACATGAAAAATATACGTCTCTATACCCTTTACCATATAATTCGTACGTGATGCTACTCCTCCTCGAACGTCGTCAGAACTACTCTTCGTGCTTCCCGTGAACTGAAAAATATTAATCAACGAGGGTTAAACATAACTACTTAGAGAGTGACCCGGGTTGAACTTGGAGATCCCGTTCTGATGGAGAACGGTGCCAACTAATATTTCAATCCAAGAATTTCGGTATTTTCCATTTATCCATTTAAATTCCACTCAATAATCTATTATAAGTCATTAGTTCCAATTCAATCCTACTTACTGACCACCGTCATAGGATTGCTCCACGCATTATCGATACATGATGGTACTGACTCAATTCGTCAATCGGTACCATCGTGTATCATTTCCATTGGTATCTAGTACTGACTCCACGTCGTCTACCGGTACTGGATTCAATCCTGCTTCTCTGTAATAGTACTGATTCTACGTCGTCAATCGGTACTATTACAGAGACGACCATACAAATCCACCAGCACTGACTCCACGTCATCAACCGGTATTGGTTTCACTACACATTCATATAACAGTATTGACTCCACTTCGTCAACCGGTACTGTTATAGAAACGTCTACCCAAATACACCAGTACTGACTCCACTTCGTCAACCGGTACTGGTGTTACATTTCGGTAGTAGTACTGACTCATTTCGTCAACCGGTACCATTACAAAATGCCCACATCAACCCTCCAGTACTGACTCAATTCGTCAACCGGTACTGGGTCCATATCCACATGTTTCTATAATAGTATTGACTCCAAGTTCGTCAACCGGTACTACTACATAAGCACCCACACACACACACACACTAGTGTTGACTCCAAATTCGTCAACCAACACTAGTTCCACACCCACACATCCCCGTAATAGTACTGACTTCATGCCGTCAACTGGTACTATTACGGGCACACGCTTCTGTAATAGTACTGACTCTACGTCGTCGACCATTACTATTATAGAAACACCACACGCACGTATCAATGCTGACTCCAAGTTCGTCAACCGACACTGGACACGTGTTCCTCTCCATCGCACTAGTACTGACTCCATGTCGTCAACCGGTACTACATACGAGGTTCATCGGGATCCATCACCATTCAATCACAACCATATCCATAATCATTTATATTGTATTTCCACATTATCATTCTCCAAATTCCAACTGGATTTATTTTCTATACTTACATCAGCTTGCAATTCATTTTCCCTTTATATGTATATTTCCACATTCGTTTTATCCACGTATTTATCGTTTTCATTCAATTATAGATTATCCTATTGAGTTTTCTATTATTTTGGACAACTCAAGTCCGAGAACAGGCTTCCCGAGTCGACCGAAATTATCAAAATTTGTCCTTGTGTCTGGACCCTCCGGACTGGATGTCGTCCGTCCGGACTGGGACTGTTAGTCCGTCCGGACTGGTATTTCCAGTTCATCCATACTAGAACTGGCAGTCCATCCGGACTGCATGTCAGTCCCTCCGGAATGGGATTCTGCACTTTGTCTTTTTCACGTGTTTCAGCCTCGTTTTTGCGATTTCTCACCAAATTTCGATCCATTTTCGATCTTAATTGCTATTAAATCATCACTAATCATTACTAGGTCCTAGATCCTTGAGAAAACATCAATTTACACCATTAAACATGAGGATTGAATCTCAAAATCCAACTCAAAGCCACTCACCTTGTTCTTCAAGTTCTGTGACCTCTTGCCTGAGCTCGTGTAATTCGTTTAAGTCCCCTCACGGCGTGAAACTCTCTAGGTAGTCTCTAAGCCTGCCCCTCTTGGGTCTCTCGAGCTCACCTTGACCCAACTCGTCCTTCATCTCTCTCACTTTCTCTTTTTTTCCTTTGCAGATTTTTGTTGCAGAAATGGTGGAGTTGGGAAGTTTGGGCGAGATTTTTGGGGCAGAGAGAGAGCTAGGTCGAGAGAATGGGTCTGGATGCTAGCTGGAATCGCCTTTTGTTGCCTTCGTGGGTTTGGTGGAGTGTGGAGCCACCTACATACGAGAAAATCGTGCACAAAAGCGTTGCCGGCAGTCTGGTTCTGTCAACCGATCGAACTGCTTTTCTCGACCGTTCGGAACTGATATTTATGGACCATTCGGACTGCTTCTGCTGGACCGTTCGGACTTACTCTAGTCCCCTCGAACTGGATCTCTCGGACTGAGTCTTTTTGGACAGTTTCCTACAATTTTCCAGCTTTCTGTCTCAACTTCGTTTGAGTCGTTTTCATTTGTTTCCCAACCAAACTTGGTGTTGTTTGTTTCTACGTGTTATTTGAAATGTCCTTTTTCAATTTCATGCATCAAAATACCAATTTAAACACAGTCGGATGATGATAACAAGACCACAACAAGCCAACTCGAGCCACTCATTTGTTCTTGGATCAAAATCGGTTTGAGTGTGATTTTTCCAAGATTGAGTGATGTTTCTGGATTCCTCCACCTTGAGATCTCTTCTGGACACTCTAGGGGTGTTTCCCAACGCTTTATCGACATTGTACATCATATTTAAGATGATTAAACTTCCCGTTTATTTAATTATTTGTCTGAAAAATAATTAAATATTCTGTTCGGGTTTCGGGGTATTACAGAAAGCACGAAGATGATGAACACAACACCGAAGTTGGCGGACAAGAGCAATACGACCAAGAGGGGAACACAAGCAACCAAGGAGATAGTTTCAGATGACACAAATGGAAAGAAGACAATCCTGGATGCATATCTGTTAATCTTCCATATACGAAACTAGGCAATATTACATTGCCATATTAGAATTATCTAGCTATTGTGATTTCTAGGTTAAAAACAATTTGTATAGAGCACATACGAATACGTAAGAGAATTGTTCTTTCTCTCATCTCTTCTTTTTCCTTGACAGATTTGCATGTCTCCATCTTTGTTCCATTTTTCAAACATCGAAAAACCTTGTTTTCTTTATGGTATCAGAGCGAAACGATTTTTAAACGCTCTTTTTTTCTCCCATTGTTCTCTTTTCTCCCTTGTTGAAAAACCTTTGCTACCTCTGTTGTCGACCATGAAAACAAACACCAAGCTTATTCCTATCACTTTACATGTATGGTGAAAACTATTTCTATTGGACCAAAGCTGCAACAACGACCCTCAGTAGCAAATGGTTATGGGAGCATATATCCTCTAAAAAAAGTCTTCTCCTCCGCACGAGGTGGCCGTCGATGGAGAGACCCTTGAACAGGCGCAACAAGCCCTAGAATGCAATCGCCAAGCTGTCAGATTTTGCTAAATGGAGGCAATAGGACAGCTAAGCATTAGTCATATTGCAAGGCTCGCTAGATCCTCATCTTCTCCAGTCGTTTATCACTCATGACACTGCCAAATCTCTTTGGGAGGCCCTGCAAAAAGTCTACGGTAACCTCCCTAGTGTTAGTTGGATTTTTGAACTAAAACGCAAGTTGTTTCATCTCCAGCAGAATGACCAGCTAATAAACAAGATTCAAAGCGAATTTTGTGCATTCTGGGCTGAACTCGAAGAGGTGAGACTGCCCTCAACAGATCCCCAAACAATCCTACAATGAGTCGAGGAAGACAAAGACTTTTCCTTTCTCTCCACACTCAATGCATCCTTCAATGACTTGACCTACCATGTCCTCCGTCAAACTAAACTCCCACCGTTTGATGAGGTATGCATGATGCTCAACCGAGAAGAAGGCGGTCGTAATGCCTTCTCGGGCCCTCTTGAGCTTGCGCATTACGCTCAGAGACCACATACGCCAGCTGCTCCAACTAATCCCGAACTGGCGCCTTATGCTCAGAGGCCGCCTGCAGCCTCTCCTTCGACTGCTCTGACTCGGGATCACAAAATTTATTTTTGTGATCACTGTAAGAAGCAGGGGCACTCTAAGGAGTGATGCTAGATTCTGAATCCCCATATAAAGCCACCAAGATTCAAGGGTTTTGAAATGACCGCCTCACATGATGTAGAAAGTTCCATCGGCCTCATATCCGACGAACTTAAGGGCCTGAAACATCTTCTTCAGTCAATTCATAAGGACACCGGTAACTTCTCTCGCA